CTGGAAGTCCCATTTGACCCAGCTATTCCCCTGCTGGGGATCTTCCCCAAAGAATTAAAAGAATCATACCACAGTGATATACATGCACCCATGTTGATAGCAGCACAATTTGTGATAGCTAAAACTTGTAAGCAGCCCAATTGTCCATCAACTGGAGACTGGATAAAGAAAATGTGCTTTTGAATAAAATGGAGTACTACTCAGCCAAAAAAATCTGAGAAATTAGAGACATTTATAGCTAAATGGATGCACATTGAGGTGATATTCTTAAGTGAAATAAATAGGACACACATGTAAATACCGAATAGTTTCTCTAATGTGAGAAACTGAAAGTGTAAATAAGGACTAAAATGTATAATAGATAATGTGAAACAGGAAGAAAAGGGGCAAAGGGGAAGGGGAAGTAGGAGTGGTAGGCGATAGGAAAGAAGGGAATGGAAGTAACATGAGAAAATGAAAAAATGGAAACAAAATATTTGTAAATAGGGAGGGGTGGGGGGGTTGAAGGGAGGGCAAGGGAAGGGGGAAAAGTAAGAACCAAGAGAGATTATGTAAAGGCACAAATTTCCTATGATGAATTTCATTATATTGTTTACCTAAAATGTACCAATAAAATAAAATTTAAAAAATAAAGGAGTATATGTAAGAGCTTATGGTCATATCTCAGCCTGGAGCAGAAAGAAAGTGAAGAGATCAAGATTCCATACTCCCATTAAAGCACACGCTCCCATGACCCAGTGTCCTCCCACTAAGTCCTGCCTCTTGAAGTTCCAGAGCAATTCCTACTACCACCATTCTGGGAACCAACGTTTTAACATACGGACATTTGAGGGACATGAACAGTTGACGTATAGCTAAAGCATAGCAGCTCCTGACCCTGGACTTATGTGGAGGCAAAATCTATACCACCTTTAGAAAATTCTAACTATAATCTCACCAACCATAAGATGCATGTAAATACTACATTTTCATTAAATACTGTACTTAGAGCCTAGAGAGGCAGATTACATTATTATCCCCATTTTTCAGATGACAGAGTAAAACCAAAGAGTATTAAAGTAGGTCTAACTGGAGTGGTTAGGATTAGAATCTATTCAGTTTGTTTCCAGAGCCTATCCTCCTAACTTGATGCTATTGACTTCCATAAATTCATTAGTTTGCTTCCCCCATAAAGAATTAATTTCTTGTAGCTACTTGAAATCTATTTTTCTTTACCCACTCCAAGCCAAAGACGATTACAATTTATCCATCATACCCACCATGTAATCAGAAGCCACCAATAGGAGTCACAAATGAGCCTTAAACAATCTTAAACAGTCATCTCCACCACCTTCCCATTCCTTCTGTTTTTCTCTCTATTCCTTTGGTCAGCCAGTTTTTCTCCTCTTAGTTTGCCTCTGGTCTCATGCTTACCCTTTAAATTCCATTAAGTCTGGCTTCTGGGGTTTTCATCCACTATTCTTTAGAAGGATAAGGATTTTCTTACTTTCCGTCTTCCAATTGGATCTCCTAAATGCTTTGGACTAGTTCTATGCAGCTAGGTCAAGCCTTCAAGTGTCAATTTTAGTGTCAATTATATCTGCCCCACATCCTTAAAAAGGTATTCTACCTCTTCAAGTTTTGCCTCTCTCATCCTTAGTGTTTATATTTGTACCTAGTAGTTTTATAGCTCTTGTTCTGTGTAGAGCACTGTGCTAAGCACTCAATCTGTTTTGTCTTAACCCTCTAAAAAAAAACCTATGGCATTGCTATTATTATTAGCTCCACTGTACAGAAAAATGATGGAAACTTGGTGAAGTTTAATAACTTGCATAAGGTCACTCAGCTGTAGTAGGCAGATAGACCCAGATCCATACCTGTTGAACACTAAATTTCTCTTCTCTAAGCCTTCACCAAACAAGCTCAAATCTTTTCTACCTGATAATTTTTACATGTTCATTAGTCTTCTCCAGATTTAATAGCAACAGGTCCAACCATCATTCCACTTTTCCCATGATTTCACCTTCCTCTCCTCACTCGATGTGGCCACTGTTAGTCTGTCTTTAGAGTTTGTTCACACTAGTCTAGGTGTATTCTGATTAGCACAGCATATATAGTTGGCCCTACACTTCTTTCATCCTTTGTGGTCTATCTCTGGCAATGAGGCCATACATTATTCTGGCAGAATCTAAGACCCTAATCAACAGAAATGATTCTGCAGGAAAATTGCTACTGAGTTTGTCTACTGTTAGCTGTGAAAATGGACAAAGTGAATGGAATTCAGGTAAATAACAGGAGAAACCACACCTAATTAGGAAGACTGTAAGAGGACTCTTTTGCAATGGGAACATGGGTTGTTTTGACAATGTATCTATTGACTTATATGTAAGACACTACTGTAGTTCCAGAGGTCCAGGACCCATCTGTTTCCTCGAAATGTCCAAGGCAAGAGGGTATCTTGAGGCCAACTTCTATCCTCACCTTTGTGTGAAATTCAGCAGTATGTGTTTGGATGCTGGGCTCTCTTGGTCCTTGTGATCTGTGACATAATGAAATCAAATTAAAGACCCAATTACCAGCTTTATTGCCAATTCTTTATAATGCTCTGGTTCCAAAGTGCTTCTTTATAGAGTGCTTAAGCTGCCATCTCTGGGTAGAGCTTGCCATAAATGCCTTCACATGCACAGCACATTATGTCCCACAGCCGCAGCAAAAAGGGGAAAAGATTATTCTCAATTATTTCACATGGTCTCTTTTATTGTTTTATTGTAATAAACTGCCATACCTTATGCCACTTCAAAATCAATAGTTTATGTTAAAAATAATGAAACAGAGCTATTAATCTTGCTTAGCATTTCTGCTATTACTTTCTGATAGTGAATCTGTAATATAGCTAAAGTAATAATTATTCACTTCCAATCAATAGGAACATTTTCAAAAGCGCTCGTGTGTCCCACTGCTATTGCATCGATGGGAGCTGATGACAATGTGCAAGTAGATTTAAAGACTCCTCATTGGAATGAAGTTCCTTGGGCCCTCCAAGCACCTGTCTGCACTTTCCATGACTCTTGCAGAAGCATTTTAATATGTTAAGAGAACACAATAAAAGAGTTAAATGTCTGGGCTCTGTGTCCAGACAGTCTTAGCTTAATTTCAATTCCCCTACTCACCGTATGATCTGAATGATCCTGGGTGTGGCAGTTAATCATTTACTATCTCAGTCACCTCATCTATAAAAATGTTGCCTTGCATGATTATTCTAAATACTGCCTGCATAATTTCACAGGATATGCTTGTTGTAGTGTCTGAAATACAGTAGGCACATTGAAAATGATAGCAGCTATTATTATGCTGTGCTTCGGGGGTTAGAAACCAGCCTGATAGAGTGGTGTTTCCTAAAGAAGTAGCAGTAAAAACAGGTGGAATGCCTGGTGTCATTTCCACTCTTTTGTTCCTTCATTCAACCTGGCATAAGAAGATCCAGTTGTGCTTTCTGGAAGTAGTCAACATTGGGATGTGAACCTTGTCAGAGGAAATTGAGCCATCAATTTAGTTGTGTTGCAAGAGGACTCTCAACTCCCAAAGCTTGACTCTTCAGCAAAATCTTGGCAGAGACAGCACTGGAGTGAATACATAGTTTTGTCAGTAAATACCCATTGATCAATGCTTAAGTCAAATATAAGGAGAGTGGAATGGGAATGCTTAAGCCATAATTGATGGCATGGCTTTTCCAATCCCATTTAATTCAATTCAACAACCATTTATATTGAAAACCTAACTTGTATCTGGAAAGTCTAGATGCTGAAGGGTAAAGAGATTCAAAGATTAGTAAGGTGTAATATTAGCTTCAAATATCTTTAAATGTAGGCAAAAAGACACACGTCACTAAGTAACTTGACTCCAAAGTGCAGAAAGAAAGTTTGATTCTCTCTAGTAGGGAAGAGTTATTTTAACTAATGCATGAACGAATGAGTAGGCCTTCATCAGAGGAAATAGAGGAATGAGAATATTCTGTGGAGAAGGAACAACAAAGTCTAGTGTCAAAGATGGGGTAAGCACTCATCTCCATTTAACTCTACCAGTATAAAATCCTTCTAGACTCCTCGGTACCTGAAATGCGTTACAAGGGAGTCCATAATCTCTCAGCCTGTGTTTCTGATCTATGCACCATTTGCTTCAATATCCACCCTAGGCTCCTAAAGCATATCATAAAGTATCTGCACTTCTTTAGAACGATACCTTCTATTTCATGTCTATCTGAGCTTCCATTTGCTGCTCCTTTGCTTTAAAGTTGATTTATCCAGCTGAAAATCTATTCTCTGTGGGGATTCAGTTCAACTGTCACCTCCTCTATAAAGTCTTCCCTGATAGGTACAGATAACATCGTGCTGTGCTACATCATTTTCTGCAGGTCAGATGTTATATTTCTTGAATCGATGAATATATATGTGAATAAATAAATGAGTGAAATAATGTATAGTACATTCGAAGTGACAAGCTGAAAAGAATTGGGATAACGTATTCATGGATACAATAAGTAGGCTTGTATAAAGCAGGCTAAGGCATTTACATTCTGAAAGTGGCAAGTTAAAAAGAATTGGGATATAACCCATTCAAGGATGCAGTAAGCAGGCTTATATAACACAAGCCAAGGAATTTTATTTATTTTGTATCTCTGGAGAACTTTGAACACAACTCCACATATCCAGAACTGCTCTGTCAGAAGAGGAGTGTAGCAGTGATGTGTAGAAAAGTTTGGTTGGTGTGGGAGAAATCAGTCAGAGTGACCGATTCAGTCAGTGAGGTACTGAAATGAGGCACTTATAGCTGGAATGACAAGAAGAAAGTGAAAAACATTTTAGTCAAAGAACATAGCACCTAGCAGTGGATCAATTAGAAGAGGGAGGAAGAGTGAAGAGGCAGGGATGGATTTTCTCTTACAGTTCTCTCATCACCGGGGACATGAATGGGAAGGGGTGATCCTGTGCTACTCCTCTCCTTGTTCTACATTGTTTTAGAAGGTGAGTTATGAATCTGGGCAGGTCAGAATTCCAGAAAGGAAGGGTGTTTTTTAGCATACCTCTGGGTAGATCAGTTGAGTGTTCAAAAATTGTACTCTAAGTTATCATGGTCTCTTCTATTCTTGCCTTCAATTCCAGTCAAATCAGTAAGTTATTGGATCAAAGCAGCAGTTTTCTGTTCTATCTCTTGTCACTAATTCTAGGACCCTGGTACTCAAAGCACAGTTTTGAAAAAACAGCATAAGCAGTGGCACCAAGGAACTTGTAGAAATGCAGAGTCTGAAGTCCCAGGCCAGAGCTACTGAGTCAGAGTGCATTTGAACAATTTCCTAGGTTGTTCCTATAAATATTAAAATTTGATAAGTACTACTGTAGGAAATTATCACTCCAGTGCCAGACAACTAGCTAGAAAGCAAAAGTCCTAACAGGCTCCACATCAGAATCATCTGAAGAACTTTAATAGTCCTGCTTCCCCAGTCTGCATCCCAAAACAATTAAACTAAAATCTTTAGGAGTGGATCCCAGACAGCAGCATCATCAAAGATTTTCAGATGATCCCATCTCCAGCCACCACCAAAGGCCACTGACATAAATGTAAGTAAGATTCAGATGTGGACATATAGGAAACAATCACCTATTTTTCCTCCCATATCCTTCATGTAATCCTTAGAACTAATTGCTCCAATCCAGTTTAACAAAGAGACCAAACTTGGTTTATGGAATAGATATTATCAAAAATAAAGTGGAATTTTGATTACCCATTTGCTGTGATTGTTTGTTTTTATTGTACTGAGGTTTCTTGCAGAGAGGAGGAATAAATGTGATGAGGTAGGAGTCAGGGATTTTCATGTGTCTCCTAGCCAAATACTGTAATACTGTGCCACAGTTAACCACTGTTAAAGTGAAGTTAGGATTTACATGCTAATGAGAATAGAAATGCCCTTGACTGAAACAGAGAAAAGAGACCAACTTCCCACAAGGAACGTAAACATCATGTGCTCAAACATGTGCTAAGAAAAATTAGTTAATCAAAAGTGAATTTCCCTAAAGAGAGAGAGAGAGAGAGAGAGAGAGAGAGAGAGAGAGAGATAAACCAGCTGATTCAAGAAAAAGGTTCTAATGGAGTACACTTTTTTGGCAGGGGGGGCTCTTTGTCTGACACATGATGATTCCAAACTGTAACTGTTGATCTCAGTAGTTCAGTCCTTCCCACCACACACACACACACACACAAACACACACACACACACTCACACACACACACTTGCAGTTCAGTATTACAGATGAAACTATCTGACCAGAGGTTTGATTTAGTCCAAATGTCATACAATGAGACAGTAAGGCAAAAAACTAGAACATTAATTCTCTGTGATGATATCATCAAAAAAGGAGGGAAAGAATTTCATCCCATTGAGTTGGTTTTATTGTAATAACACAGGGCAAGCATTTATCTGAGTCAAGGGTGGCAGCTGCTGGTTATAAACCACTGTAATAATGAAGACCAAATTGAATTATCTTCAGCCATGATTAAAGATCAAAGAAGATTTTTTTTCAATAAACACAGCCTTGTTTTTCTTTGTCAGAAATGGTTAGGTTAAGCTAGCTGGCTAAACAGAGATGGAAAACTGAAGGCTTTTTCAATAAAGTAGCCAAGCAGGAAGAAAATGCAGGAATGGCCAGATGCATTTGTCGGATGGCTGTATAGATAAATAAATAGCAGAGTTTGTAGTAGGCAGAACATTCAGAAGGGCTATCAATGACATTGCTGAAAATAGTGGATTCAAGAATAATCGTAACATATGTCAGCCCTCACTTTCTGAGTACCAACTCTGTGCCAAATACTGAGTTAGATATTGTACAATATATTATTTAATTTATTTTATTACATGATTTAAACAATAACATTGCAGATCAAGAGTTATCTTCTTTTTTAACAGTCTAAGGCATACAAAGATTTAGTGAAAAAAGTGCTCTAAGGTATAAAAATCTTTAATGATTTGCTCAAGAAATTTGTGGACTTAGAATTTAAATATTTGTTTATCTTATTCTTAAACTTCTGGACCTGTTCACAGTATATTGTTTCACCAAATTAACAAAAACCATGCTTGACATTACAGTAAGGAAGTGTGGATTCTCTTACACATCCTCATGTGACTATGAGACACTTTCTCCTAAGGAAAAAAATTATTTCCTCTCATGTGTACAGTTTATAAAATTTGGGGGAGTTTCTTGATCTCTAAACTCACATGGAGGTTCACATTAAGAAATGTTTCTTGGAAGATTTAAAAGAACTAATGAGTGGAAGTGAGAAGGAGAGAAGGCACACACAAAAATGGAGACGACAGTTTAGGAAGAATGGCTTGGGCTTGCTCTGTTTGGAGCAACTATATTTTTTAATTTTTGTTCTCTTAAAATTTTCTTTTAAAATAATATGCAATATACATATATTTGCATAATTGCAAATTAATCCTTAAACACCCCTATCAGCCAAAATGTATCTAGCGTGAGTAAAGAAAGTGCATG